TCTGGCAAATGGCAAGACTTTGTGTTAGATTAGTTTGGAATTTAATCATGCATTTATTTTCCCTCCAATTAAATTATTTATATATTTGACTAACGGTTTCACTGCTAGAAAGTCAAATTTTCAATGACAACATGCCCCTTGAATTTCAGGGCAGTTTCTTGGGATCCGTCTGTCTGTTGAATATTAAGAACTTACTGTGTATTAGTCTCCGTAGCTACCTGGGATTTCGGTGAGCAAAGAATGCGTGCTTTGTCCACCCGGCCCCAGGAACACGATGCAAAAAGGGGTAAGTCTGTCTGGACTAACCCCTCCCCTGTGTTAGCTCAGGATTCTGACTTTCATCCCTTCCTACTGCCTTTCCTTTTCTCTGGCACTGAAACGTATCTCCTTCGAATTTTACTTTCTCGGGCTTGAGAGCCACCTTGACCGAGAAAGTCATGGGCTATGCGACTCCACAAAGGAAGCTTCGAAGTCATCCAGTTGAGGGTGAGCAAGCCCGTGGCCTACAGGCCCCCAGCTTGGCTTCGCACGGCCTGTGAGCTAAGAATGGTTTTTACAGTTTTAAACAACTGGGGGGAAAAGAGTGTGTGTGTTTTTTTAAGAGTATTTCATGACACGGGAAACTTTTGGTGTCCACAGGTAACAGCTGTGCCCATAATTTTTGTACTGTTATGGCTACTCCCCTGAAACAGTGGCGTAAGTAAGGAGTTGCAACAGAGACCTTTTGGCTCAAAAAGCCTGAAATATTTACTCCCTGGCTTTCCACGGAAAACGTTTGCTGACACCTGATCTAGTTTATCATCCTAATGCAGCTATTTTCAACTTATTTCATCTCATGGCACACAAACTAATTACTAAAATTCTGCAGCACACCAAAATACATTTTTGCAAATATCTCACAAAAGTAAATAGGTATAATTTTGATTTATTCACACCGGACAGCTGTTGTTTTGTTGGCTGTTGTCATTTTTTTTAGTTGGCAATCTAAGGGAAAAGGGGTCCGTGCCCCCAACTAAATAGTGAGGTATTGCATGCTTTAAAAATACTTGCAGCCCAGCTAGCATGGCTCAGTGGTTGAGCATCGACCTATGAACCAGGAGGTCACAGTTCGATTCCCGATCAGGGCACATGCCCAGGTTGTGGGCTCAATCCCCCAGGGTGGGGAGTGCAGGAGGCAGCCAATAAGTGATTCTCTCTCATCATTGATGTTTCTATCTCTCTCTCCCTCTCTGACATCAATAAATATACATTTTTTAAAATTCTTGTAGCACTTCAGGTGAAAATTGCTGTCCTAATTTTTAGAGATGAGAAAATAATGTCCCAAATAGGTGGACTGAACTGTCCAAATGTACACAGCTCATCCGGAATTGGTGTGGGTGCATCTTCCGTTGCCCACCGTGCTGTTCCCACTGCGACGGAAGGTCTGCCCTGCAACAAGCCTGCGCGCGCACTCCTGGCAGAGGCCAAAGCAGCTTGCCAAGAAAAGTAAACATTTAGGACCTATGGCCGTGTAAAGTCTGTGATTTCTTAGAATTTTAATTTTCACCCGAAATCCAGCTCCAGGAAATGTTTGAAGCTTAAAATACATTTGAGCAACCTGGAGAGACAGAAAGATGGCTCTGTGTTTCTTTGTAGTAATTGGTTACCTCCTGGGCTCAGCATTTGGACCATAAAGACAAGCAAGGTGGACCTGGTCCTTGCGGGCTGAGATCATGGAACTCATTTCAAGAACAAGAACTTGTGGTCTCCATCCGAATTGGCACTTGAACAGTTTCAAAAAATCACAGAAAGCACGTTAGGTGGAACTCAGGCTCCTCTATGGGGGCTGAAAGTGAGGTTGCCTCCACTGTCTAGTGCAGGACCTGCCCCGTCCCGGTCACGTGGACGTAACACTGGGGTGTGCTTGCTGATTGGCACGGAACTCCCATCACTAGGATTTTCAGATATTGTCTCAGTTTGGTACCAGCACCTTGTAGGCATCTTCTACAATCTGTCTGTCTCTCCAGGTCACTAAAGCCCATCCAGTTTAACAATCCAGTCTCATGCCCCCCTTCAGAGCTTCCCCTTCCTGTAACACCCAGGCATACACTCAGGAGCTGGGGGTGTGTGCTCTGGCTCTGACCCTCACCTCTTCCCTCCCTTCTAGAGTCTGTCTCCTCAGGTGTGTTGGGGAGAACAGAACAAGAGTCTCTTACTTCATTGGCTGCCTTTGGTGTCTCCCTGCTGGTCATCCCAGTTCCCCTGAGTAAAGCCAATTACCTTTGATGCCCTCCTCTGTCAGGGCTGGCGTCCAGGTGCTGGCTTTCTGGTGGGGTGCATGTGACTTCTCTCCGGGGGCATATCCCGCAGTCTAGCTGCTGGAGACCTGACCTGCACACTGCGTTTCGGGAGGGCCAAGCTTGGCTCTCACAGTGGTATCCCCCGGGCCCCTGGTGACTGCCTGGCCCATTCTCTCCTGCCATGCGTATTCTGCACTCTGGTCCTCAAATGCCCCAAGTTCTGTCCTCTGCAGGTGCGTCTGTTTCGTCTTTCTGCAATGGTGCCTCCTGTCTCCCCGCTCCCAACCTCACCTGCACCCCAGGCGGGTCTTCACTCACCCTTGCGGCCCGACTTTGAATGCACTTCATTGGAGAAGCTAACCCTTAAGCTTCACGCAGATGTGATCTCCTGTTCATTGTTTGTATAAAACCTTCTTATTTCCCTTCATGCCACCGATTACAACTATAATTGTATAGTAACTTGAGTCATTACCTGTTTCCTTCAGTGGCCTGTAATTTCCTCCGAGCAGGAGCCATGTCTGTCTGATTCCCCAGCACGGGGCCTGGTGTGCAGTGGCAGTCTCCACAAACAGGCGAGAGGTGAATGCGGTCCCATTGTGTTCCTTGTATTCTACGCAGCAAAACAGGGTTCACGTTTGGCTATCTTTCTCATTCTTTTGAATTCTTGATGGTATGTTATTTTAAAGTAATCTAATACCTTATATTAAAATCTTATTGTGTGGATACTAGATAAAATGAGGTTGAAAAGATAAGCAAATGCATCAACAGTACAATTTACTTTGTCCGGCGAAAGTTTCCTTTACTGAGGCTCCACCAAGTACCAGGAACACTTGTCAATGACAGAGAATTTGAAACCAAAAGATGTGCGTCCTGGCCTCAAATAGACACTCAGCCCAAATTCTGATTCAGTTTACAGTTTTAACTTTACCTGCCCCCCCCCTCCTCCTTCCTTCTTTCCTTTTCATGTATATCAATCTAAGGAGCTTTATTTCTAGCAACTTGGAAAAAAACTGAACCAAGAATAATTGTTATGGAGTGGTTTTGTGTGACCATTAATTTTTTTTCTCCCTGGAAAGGAGAATTCATAGAACCCCTCTGTGCCATGTGGACTTCAAGGCTGGATGTCAGCACACATGTGGGACAATCCTGGGTGGTGTGAATGGCCTGCAAACGTGTACTTGAAGCATCAGTTTGAAGATTGCCCCGCACATCTGTTCTCTTCATATACTTATGGAGACCGGCATGACTTTTAACAAACACGGATACTCACGACAGTTGACTTTTTATAGGAAATTCACACCTGTTTGCCCTGGGGTTGCTACACCGCAGGAACCTGAGTGATTCTGTGCGGTTTCCTTGTTGTCTTCAGAGCCTGGGAAAGGATCCTGGCTGTCTCCCCGTGCGCTGTGCTGTATTCCCCACATCCTTTGTTCCTCAGGCTTTCTGGGGGCTGCTCAAGGAGAGGAGAGTGAATGGTTAATTGCTTTCTCTCCCCTCATTCTGTTTTCAGCTCCAGAGACAGCCCGGCTCACTTCCTTGTTTCCTTGCAGCAGCCGGCCGCCTAGTGGAGTCACTGGGAAAGGCAGGCTGTGATGGTGGAATCTGAGGCTCCAGCCCCCAGAGACCACTCACTGAGGAGCCTAGGCAGCAGAGTAATTAAACGTTCTGTCACTACTCTGCAGCTCATGGGACCCGAGGGGAGCTTCCTTTTATTGCACCGCGTTTTTAGTGATTGTATTTCTATGTATGTTTGAGAAGGTGTTTGCAAAAACCTTATGTTAAGGCCAATAAAACCGTGGGGCGACCGGAGAATAAAATCCACAAGATCAAATTAGTACACAAATTTCCCCAGTAATCCATAACTGACATTTTAATTATATTGTAATTAACTTAACTTTGATCCAAATTAAGAACCTTCTCTTCCTCTGGTGCTGCCGTAAGTTTCTCATGTCTCCCAGTTGTAGGGCTTGTGATGCTAAACTTTGAATTGTTGGGGACGTCAGGGAAATTCATCTTCATTTTAGAAACCGGATTAATAGGACTATAGAACTGGAAAGAACGTTTTAGAACTAGGCCATCCATTTCTTTATTTTGTGCATGCGACCACCAAGATCCCGAGAACCTGTAGCATTTTGTGGACGATCGCCTGGTTCTCCAGTATCTCAGTTTACTTCTCTGTGATTCTTATTCTAGAAGAAATCCCACTAGTTGGAAATAAAGTGGAGCTTGGAGAAGTGCTTTTGTTGGTTGTTGTTGTTTTGGGAGGGGAGGGTTCCTTACTACAGATTGTGTGTGTTTGTGTGCACGCATGTGTGTGTCCTTCTTCGCAGCCAGCTGCAGCCCTACCCAAGGCCTGGGTGGTGAGAGCGGGAGAGCGCCTCTGTGGGCAGTGAGCCTTGACCTCCACTTGGAAGATGAACAATAACAGAGACCCAGAGAGCACTTGTGTGGCTCACCCTGTTTCACAACTCTGCTCTGCCGATGCCCTGGGACATCAGGCTCCCTCCCAATAGTGTCCCTTCTGCTAGTTAGGAAGCATACACGCACAATTAATTAGAGCAAATTTACGTAAGAAATATACTCAACTAGAACAAAATAACCTGTAATCGGGTAAAGTTATCATAGAGTCTTTAGGGCATTTTTTGCATTGCTGTTTTTTGCCTTTAGAAATTACTAATAGATTTTTATTCAATTTCTCGCTTGCTTTCTTTCAACCCTCAGCATATAAACAATGACCATATTCATGGAGAGAAGAAGGAATTTGTGTGCCGGTGGCTAGATTGCTCCAGAGAGCAGAAGCCCTTCAAAGCCCAGTATATGCTGGTGGTGCATATGAGACGACACACAGGAGAGAAACCTCACAAATGCACTGTGAGTACACAGGTGGTCCAGGCTGTCAGCTTGGGGGTCCCCTCACACCTGTGGGTGTCAGGATTCGTACCGTGGGTGCTTTGCCATACTCTCAGGGTTGTGCATGATGATGACTCCAGCTCAGGGGCGGCATGGCTGGGTGGCGGGCGCCGTCTGTGATAAATACAGTGGTTTGTCAAAGTGATTTCTGAAATGGAAGGGAAGCGAGACATGGAGAAAGAATGCTGACAGCTTAGCTTTGGGGGATGATGGACGTGTTCTAGATGCACGTGCGCTATCCAGCACAGTAGCCACAAGCCACATGTACCTCTTGTGCACTTTCTAAAAAAATATTTTTTTACTGATTTCAGAGAGGAAAGGAGAGATAAGAAACGTCAATGATGAGATAGAATCATTGATCAGCTGCCTCCTGCACACCCCCTATTGGGGACCGAGCCCGTAACCTGTGGGCATGTGCTCTGACTGGGAATCAAATCGTGACCCTGGCCGGGCTCTTGTATGCTTTTGAGATTTGGCTAGAACCAGGGAACTAATTTTTAAAATTTGTTTTTGGAAAATTTAAATATAAATATTCCCCTGTGGCTAGCAGGATGGACAGCACAGCTGTGCAGAATGGCAAGTGGGCAGGCAGTGGCTGGGACACAGTGGTGGGCACTGGAAATGAGCACACAGACACAGGGCCTGCCCCAGTGCCCATATCCATTGTGTCAGAGGACTTGGAGGGCAAAAGCCGGTGCCAACTGTGATTTTAAAAACTTAAGTTGACTTTTAAAAAAATATATAACCTATATAGTTGTAGAGTATTTCCTCTCCCTCTTAGTCTGTTCTCGTGGCCCAGTATAAACCTACCCACAACTAGGCTGGGACTCCTAGGAGGCTAAGCCTTTTCTCACTGAGGTGCCCGGCAGGCACACTGGGCACTGCTCAGCCCTGATGCTTTACATCTTAAAGGCCCTTTATAAACACACAAAGCCATATAATGAACTTGGTGCTGAATCTGAAATCAGTGGGAATTCAAGGAGATCAATGAGCAGATAATGAAACCCATTGTCTGCACTGAGTGGTCTCTTAAGAAAAGATCTCCATGACGTTCACCAGCACTGAAATGCTTTCTCTGGAGCTGCACTAAATCCCAATAAATGCAGAGTTTAGTGGACTTTTGTTCCTTGGTTTTGAAAAGCTGCTGACCCTCAAACGTCAGTCTTCTGTCAATTGGAGGGAAAGTTAAGCATAAGCTGTTATTGTGTGGAGTAATCCAGATTTACCTGTTGTCTTCAGTTTGAAGGTTGCACAAAGGCCTACTCGAGACTCGAAAACTTGAAAACACACTTGAGATCTCACACTGGAGAGAAGCCATATGTCTGTGAGCATGAAGGTTGCAACAAGGCTTTCTCGAATGCTTCCGATCGTGCCAAGCACCAAAACAGAACACATTCCAATGAGGTAAGGCTCCCCTTGAGACACACTTGGGGCCCAGACGTTGTGGGTAGAAACAGTGAACCTTCATGGAGGCCATACGTGGAGGGAGAGGTGAACCTGTTCCATTCTGTTTCCTCGTGACCATTCCCAGCGCGAGTGAGCACCGATGCTGCCGGTGAAGGCCTGGGGCCTCGAGCTAGGGCTAAAAATGGCCTGGTTTGGAGAAGAATGCTGACGAAGCGGGAACTTCTTAAAACCCCTGGCAAACAGGTTCTACTTTTTTTCAGAACTGCCACCTACTGGCCAAACAGTAAGAGCATTGAACTTGGAATTCCATCCACTCGCTAGGCCAGGAGGAGCATGAATCCATGGGAAGGATGACCCTGTGAGCACCAGGCATAGAGTCCAAAGCCACATGTTGACAGCTGGCAGCAGCTTTCCACTAAAACAGCCATTTTTATTTGCTTTCTCCAGGCGTCATATCTTCCAATGCATTATATTTAAAAAAGACTTTTACAGAGCAACCAGCCTTGGCTAACTATGATTTCCAGACATTCTGTATTCCAGCGGGTCTTGGAAGTTATTCTCAGAAACTCAGAATGGTTTCTAGTCAGTTATTTAAGATAACACGTTGAGTAAAGCTTCATGGTTGGTGAGTGGGCGGATCCTGTCGTGTTGCTGTTATTTTTAGGTAGTTATTCCCTCAAAATTTCAGGGAAACATAAGAAGAAAATGATTTCAGATTCACTTTGTGTACATGTTAATGCATGCCTGCTTACACACTCCAACTTCTTGAAGATCTAGCTCATTCTGGCTCCTCAGTGAACCTTCTCTTGAATGAATCCAGAAATGAACCAAAAAGCTTCCATAGTTTGGGTAGAAATAGGGGAGTTACCTAGAATTTGTTAGTAAGAAACATAGCTCTGCCCCACAAGTATGTCAGCAGTTTGCTTGAAATGTGTGAGAGAAGAAACATTTTGACCTTGGCACGGCTGTCACCTGACCTCCCAAGGTGCTGGGAAGCCCATCCATGATCTCCCGGATGGAGAGTTGAGAGAGGGAATCTGGTTAAAAACAGAGTGTGCCGTCAGCTCACTGGCCATTGGCTTTGGTGGCAAGGATGGTCCTCATTGAGTTTCCTTTCAACTGAACTGGCAGAACAAAAACATCTCTGCCCTAGTCGGTTTGACTCAGTGGGTAGAGCATCTGCCTGGGGACTGAAGGGATCGGGTTCAATTCTAGTCAAGGGCACGTGCCTCAGTTGCAGGCTCCATCCCCAGCCCTGGTTGGGGCCCATGTGGGAGGCAACCAATCAGTGTGTCTCTCTCGCATCAATATTTCTCTCTATCTCTCCCCCTCCCTTCCACTCTGTCTAAACAATCAATGGAAAAAAATATCCTCGGGTGAGGATCAACAAAAACAGTAGAAACAAAAAAACCCATCTCTAAGGAGATTAACCACACTCCCTAAAAAGCACTCACATAAACTCACACATGCAGGTTCACATACTTAACTCTTTGAAAGGTCGTGGTGGAATAAGGAAACGTCATTTGGAATATCTTATTATTGATCAACTGTTTGAGGATGTTTTAGGAAAGATGCTTCATCTCCTTTTTATATGTCAAAATGCTTTTACCATGTGCAGTAGTTAGTGTAATCTGCTATACTAGATTAGTGGTTGCCAGAGGCTACCAGGTACAGGGTTTCTTTTTAGGATGGTGAAAATATTCTATAATTTGATAGTAGTAATGTTTACACAACGTTGTGAATGTACTAAATGACACCGAATTATGCATCTTTTAAAAGGTGTTTTTTTATAGTATGTGAATTATGTCTCTATTTAAAATGTTTTAGGGGATTCGATTAACTGAACTTAGAATTTAATTAATGTGTTTAACTACATTTAATATAGTTAAGGATCATTTTGACTAGAAACTTAGAGGGTATTTATTCCTGTGGATTTTAGGCCAAGGTTCTCTCCTGGAGAAATTTAAGTAGTGGGTATGTTCAGATTAGCAGTGCATACACATAAACATACTACTCAGCTTTTTATCTCTTCATGGACTTTAAAACATGTACACATGTATGTTTGCTGTAATTAAGTGTATTACAGTTGAGCTTCTGTTCTTTTGTTAGGTAGAAAGAGCCGTGCCCAATGAGAGTTTAAATGCGTTGTGAGGTTAACAGGTATCTTGGTTAATATTTTTTACCAAGGCTGAGCAGTTTTTTAAATAACTAAAAAAATTGTCCATTACAGTTGGCATAAAATGTTATATGAGGTTCATGTATACAACATAGTGTTAGACATTACAAAGTGATTGCCCCGATAAGTCTAGTATCCATCTGACACCAAAGTTGAGTAATTTTCCTAAAAGAAATTATTAACATTGACCATAAACACAGAATAAAATTTCATTCACAAACATGTAAATTATTCTTCTCTCTTCTTTATATAAGGCTTGTCCTGGCATATGAATGATGGACAGTTTCTGATACACCAGAATTAAGTTTGTCTAGGAAATCCAGTGTTGTATAATCTCACGATCCTAAATAAGTCTAGATGCCATCTTTCATTGGTTTGCTTCCTTAGTGGTACCTTCATTGATTTACTAATCACTATCAATAGCTAATGTGCAAAGCACTTGGCTGCTGTAGGTGCAGCAAGGAGCACGGTGGACTAGACTAAAGGCAGTAATTCCCACTCGAGGAAGCCAGTTCCTCCCAGAGCCACACTAACTAAGCACATTTCCTTGAGCTCTGATTTGGTCGTATCTCCCTCTCCATACGGTTCCAATGGCTCCCTCTTTCCTGTGGGAATGTTAGACTCCTCAGGCTTGTGCCTGCGCTCACCCAGCCCAGGCCTGCTCTTGCAGTCTTGACCTTTTGTCATCGTGACCATGAATGGAACCTCCCAGACAGCCTCAGCTTGATCAGCCATGCCCCACGCATGCAGTGGTCCCGCTGCAGGACCTCTGCTCAGGGATACTTCTTTTCCTCCACCTCTTGCCCGCATTTTTATCCCTCAGAATCTTGTTCTTCTTTCATGGTCCAACTACAGGCCTCCCCCTAATAAAAACTCTGTTTATTGAGAACTTACTATGTGCAGTACATTGTGGTAACCACTTCGTATACATTATCTTTTTTAAAATATATTGTTATTGATTTCAGAGAAGAAGGGAGAGAGAGATAGAAACATCCATGATGAGAGAGAGAATCATTGATCTGCAGCCTCCTGCACGCCCCACGCTGGGGATCGAGCTCACAACTTGGGCATATGCCCTGAGCAGAATTGAACCTCCGGGTTCATAGGACGACACTCAACCACTGAGCCACACTGGCCGACCTACATTATCTTATTTAACCCTTACCATGACCCTTACCGTTTCTTTTACACCCAATATAGATATTTAGTGCTTCCCACTATCATCCTAACTAAAATATGATTCCCCTCTGCCCACATCCTTCTGTAGCATGCACACTGTATATTGTAGATAAGTACATGCTGTTATGTTTTTCTTACCATATTTTATAATCCTTGAGATTAACTCCTGTTGTATATAACTTTGTGTTCAGAGAGTCTTGCCTATAGCAGAGATCATTCAATGTGTATTGAAAAAGTTCTCGGGGTAAATTTTACAAAGTCAAGTATAAACAGTATCAATTGTGCTTTTTTTTTTAAATTTTACACCTTTAACAAGAGTAGCAACCAAGCATTTTTTTTTTAATTTTTAAAACTTTTTATTGTAGAAAATTTCAAATATCAGTGCAGTGAGTCAAAAAGGTACTGGCCATGCCAAAAGTAGAACATGCAGGACAGGAAATATAGGGGTACCTCAGCTGAGAAAGTCTGACAACATTTACCTTCGCCTACAGTTATATTTCATTTTACTCATGGGGGACAACAAAATTTGGGTGCCAGGCTACATAGTTGAGCTAATGTGTTTTGTTGTGAAGCCTAAGTTTCCAGAACCTGTGTCTTTATGGATTTTTGCAGGTGGAAAGTCTATATGTTCACACGCAGGACACCTGGGCACACACGTATGTGCTCTTGTTCCTGAAATGTAAGAGTTGACAAACATTTGTAGACTCATTTCACTTATAGCTATGTTTCCATTTCCAGGCAAACCCATAGTGTCCACATGCATATATTTATAGGAAAAATAGCTCTTCAAACATGTCACGCTGACCTGGCTTTGTCCCCCCACCTTCCTCCAATCCCCACACACCTGCCCCATGCAGCCCACTCTGTCTGCTGATGGAGCAGCATGTCATAGCCAGGCAGTGAGCATGCATTGGGCCCATGTCAGAGTACTATAAGGTAATAGCACTAATCATCGGCACCATTCTTCTGTCCCTAATGCACAAAATTTGATGTGCTTATTTCATCATATATATATATATATATATATATATATATATATATATATATATACACACACACACACACACACGCACACATGCTGCAAATCACAGGAGCTCCTGAATAGAAGTCATTCGTAGTTAATGGGAATCAGTTCTACCCAAAAGAATCTCAGATTTGGAGTTGCAGTATTTCAGGATGATTTTCATAGTCCTTGCTTCACTCCATTAGGACCTTTCATCATTATTGGAGGCAGCACTCCGTCTGTTCTTGGGCTTTTAGTGGAAAAGCATCTTTCAGACACATACACTCTATAAGATAGGGTATCTTTTTAGATATAATGAATGTATTATATTGATCATGCTTTTTATGATTATTGCTTACCTAATAGTTCATCTTCTGGTATGTAGATACAGATATAAGTATGTATTCTTATAAGCATGCATGAATATATTTCAAGTCAAGTAAACAAATCCATAATTGCAATATTGGTCATGAAATACAATGCCAGCCACTCTGTAATCTGAGTAACATTCAGCTCTATGCATCCATGTAATTTCTGTGACTGTAGCTGTAGGCTTGATCACTAGCCCCCATAGAAAATGAAATTAACATGAAATAATTTATAGACCTTCGTACTCAGAAGCAGAGCCCAGGCCAGGAATCTTCATGTCCAGGTCATCATCCCTCAGCCCTTTTCAGTTTATGGGTAAGCTCTCATGACAGTCTAACAGGGCTTCACGACTCTGAGGGTCAGAAAGGTTCTGGATGTTCTGAGCCCTGACCATCCTCACAGAATTGTAATGCTACTCAAAGGACAGTATTTTAATGATACCTAACACGGGAGAATCTGTAGGCAATTTTTTTCTGCCTAAGTGTAAAAAGCACATTTTCAAGGGGGTAGAGTGATATTAGAGCTGAGAACATCCATAGAGCTAGGACATCCATAAGATATTTTTTTCACACGAGCTCTCCCAAAAGGTATATAACATTCTTTTGATTAAATGATGGGTATCTTTTATGCCTTCCTCTGTCATCATCATCATCATCATCAATGTCATCATCAAATAGCTATTTAGAACCTACTGTGATACTACCATACTTCTTCCTACTCAAAGGATAAATGTTTCCAAGATTATAAACACAGGTTGTATAGCCTTCGCTCTCCCTGACCACTCTCTAAAGCACTGATGTCTTAAAGATAGATTCTTTAGACCCTGGGCAATGTTCAAATGGCCTTCATTAAACCTCTGTATTATTTAGAGGTATTTGGATACCTCAAAGCTTTGTGGAAGTGCTTTTAAAGAATTAAAAATATAGTGAGCAACCACAAAAGACTGTTGGGCTTGGGCATAATCACTTTCCTAACCATCTGTCATCTCCTTCTCGTGGCATTTGGCAGAAACCATATGTGTGTAAAATCCCAGGCTGCACTAAGCGCTACACAGACCCCAGCTCTCTCCGGAAACACGTGAAGACCGTGCACGGCCCAGAGGCTCATGTCACCAAGAAGCAGCGTGGGGACATCCATCCTCGGCCCCCACCACCGCGGGATTCCGGCAGCCATTCCCAGTCCAGGTCACCTGGCCGGCAGACTCAGGGAGCCCTTGGTGAGCAGAAGGACCTCAGCAACACTACCTCAAAGCGGGAGGAATGCCTCCAAGTGAAAACGGTCAAGGCGGAGAAGCCCATGGTACGTCATTCACTTTCCTTCCGATTGTCCCAAAGCCATCTGAGGTCATTTAGCAGAGCTGGAGAGAGCTCTGAGAGAGAATAGGCTGCCCCCATCCTCACGGCATCCAGCTCTCTCATTGAAGGAGGTCAAAGCTCAGTGACCTCCGTGACCTGGGTTACTTACTCTAAGTCGCTCCACCGAGAATACCTCAGCTCAAAAAAAAGAGTTTCTGGGTTTCCTCAATGGTTTTTAAAGTAGATCTGCAGCCGTACCACCTTGTGGCAGACAGAAAGACATGACTGTCTGCATTTTCAATGTAATGTAGAAAATCATTCATTGGGTCTTTCTGTTAACAGGTGTTCTGTCTTCTTTGCCCTGGCGACTCCAAGTTAAATAAGCCATTGTCTCTATTCTTCAGGGGTTTATAATCCAGTGGGATATGCAGGCCAGAGAAACAAATATAACTCCGTGTGATGGGGCTTTAGCACACATCTGTGTAAGAACATCTGAGAAGGGATCTCACCACCAGTGCAGCTCGAGGACGTGATGGGGGAGGCAGAGGAAGAGGTGCTGCCAGGTTCAACACTCAGACAGGGAAAGGAGCAGACCGATCCTGGCATAGCCAGGCACCAGCCGTGGGACCTCAGGGCAGTGCGCAGTAGGCATGAGGATACATGGGATTATGTTTTTCTGCTGAGTTTTTAGAAACGACAGCTTTAGTGCCCTTCTGGAGACAGGTTTGGTAGACTGGAGACCATTTCACAGAGGTGTCTGAACCAAGGAGGTGCAGAGAAAGGGAGGGGTTGAAAGGCCTCCAGCAAACACCTTTATGGTTTAGTGATGAATGGGCTATATGGATTATGCTACTGTTACAGCTTCTTTCTAACGTCATTTTGCTTTATATAGTATGTGCCTTAATAAAACAGCTAAGGGTTCTCAAAAAGACAACAAGAACAATGGAAAGGGCAGCTGCCAGAGGAGAGGCAGTACATTGGCATTTGACCACGTATTTAATGGAGTCAGCTCTGCGAATGTGCTGGATTGTAGTCTGTCCCTGTGGACGCAGAGGAAAGGTGCCAGATAGAAGTTACATGCTTAGACTTCCAGACATGTGGAAATGACCCACAGGCAACTCTGTACTCAGCTCAAGGAAGCATTTTCTTAACATTAGAAAAGTCCAGCAATCGGATAGACACCTATGAATTCCCCAATGATGTCACTGTGCAGCAGTACGTATGGGCAGGAAATGATGCACAGACAATTCCAGAATTAATGGAGTAGAACTCAATGACTTCTACTGGATTTTAATGACTTAGTGAGTTTGTCTTTGAAGGCTTGCGAGTCTTAATGACAGTAACTCTGGTCACACATAATGCAGATAATGCAGGTTTATCATCATTTCCTAGTGGGTAGCTATACATTGCTTTTAAAAATCACCTTAGTAAAAAGTTTACATCTGTATTATGACCGATCACTGTACTTTAACCGGGTCATAAACTGTGTTTTATATACTTTTTCTTGGGAGCACATATCAACTTCCTAAAATAAAGTCCACCTGTGTACTAATTGTGCAGAACATTCCACAGTTTATCCTCAAGTGTTCAATGAAACAAGGAATGTGAATTTGTGGTTTCTTAGATGATGCCGTCGAAAGACAACGATGTGTATTGTTAGGACATCCTAAGAACCCAGAGTCTCTTGTACCTTTAATGCGTATTTCTGGCTCAAGAAAACTCATCATCTCCTTTCCAAACACCCATTATTTAAAAAGAAAATAGGTAGGAATAAAATTTCACAGCAATTTGGTCAAGTGATATCTGAGGTATTACAAGATATAAAATATTTTATAAAGTAACTAAATCTTAGAAACACTGGACGAGAAGAGATCGCAGAGGCTGAGACGAGGCCCCGTGTTTTATAGGTGAGGAAACTGAGGCTCCTCACTGTCAATGAATCCATCAGTTCCCACAGGAGACCGTTATATGTGTATATGTGCACACACTTAGGGAATCGGTAGATATCTTCATAGACATTTACTAATGCGCGTGAGATTTGCATTTCTAATATTCTTTCTGTAAAAGCCTGTCTTTGACTTGATCATCATGCTAAAAATTAAATTCTTTCTTCTTTTTTCCTATCAAACCAACATCCCTTCTGTGTAATGCTCCTAAATGTCTTGTTCTTACTTCCTAAGGACAGTGGGTAATAAGGTGAGGGAATTTCGGCTTCTCTGCTCTTTTTTGTTCTGTCTTCACTTTAACGTTTAATTTTTATTCATTTCCTTTTCCTTGAGTGTTTGTGCTTTGTTATTCCTTTGATAGAGAACATCACTCAGCTATGTTTTAAACCTAGAAGCACTGTGTTTTGAACATTTAGCTTGTGGACATGTGGAGTTAGATGGTGAAATTCATTGTTTCATTTGTCTAGGTTTTCATAATAAATCACACTGGGGCCGACCAAGCAGATGTTCTCAAAGACTATTTAATCACCATATTGAGGAGTGTTAAATCCAGACCAGACATGCACCACCTTCTTTGAAGAAGATCTGGATACATTTTTTTTTTTTTGCTAGCAATTTAATCTGTATTTAACTGTTTGAGCCTCTTTAATCAGTTTTCTAATTATAAGTGCACTTATGCCTTCTTTCGTGCCCTGTGGAAGCGTGTGTCTGCGTGTGCTTGGGTGCACTTACACAATTTTGTGTACACACACACACTCTGACCTGCCAATCCAGAGAAAAAGGCACCCAAAGCCCGGGCTGCTCCGAGAACCTTAGAGCAGGAGCAGGTGGTTGGGCACGCCAAGGCTGCGGAAGCAAAAACGCAAGCCAGTCTGACTCGTGACCAGATTTGTGTTTCGCACTTGGATCTGCTTGGTTGCCCAGCACACTTAGTGGGTCATGTGGCGCTCACTTGATACGTGTTCGTCTGCTCGGGTGTGTGTACTGTGGTGGCGGGAAGTGCAACCTGTGTCCTAAGCCCCCTCCTGACAGCACTGTGCATTCCACCTGGGACGACCGTGGTCTGTAGCTGAGTGCAGGCAGTGTAGTTCTCTCTCCCCAGAGATCTTTTGTTCTTTGGGAACGTGTAGAAGGAAGGGGAGAGATTACAAATTGCTTGGGAAACCCTCCCTGAATAGCTCGGAGGGGCTCTAGGTGGGGAGGAGATAGTGTGTGCTTATGGAGTATGTCTTCCAGGTATATATTAGCCCAGGTATATAGGAACCCAAGCACTGACACCAACTAGGATAATTATCGCTAATGCTCTCTGAGCCAATCAGTTCCTATTACCCAGGCTTTTTTCTTTTTACACACTTAGTGTGCTCTCAGGGCTTCACACTTAATTCTCACAACAATCTCTAAGATAAATAACATGTCCTTATGTTATAGACTAGAGGCCCAATGCACGAAATTCGTGCAAGAGTAGGCCTTCCTTCCCCCGGCTGCTGGCACTGGCTTCCCTCCGGCACCTGGGACCTGGGCTTCCCTCGCAGCCCGGCTTCATCCGGAAGGTCATCCGAAGGACGTTTGGTCTAATTAGTGTATTACACTTTTATTATTATAGACTAGAGGCCCAGTGCACAAATTCGTGTACAGGTGGAGTCCCTCGGCCTGGCTGGCAATTGGGGCCAATCAGGGCTGGCTGGCCGGGGGAGGGACCGTGGGAGGTTTGCTGGCGCAGGAGGTTGGCTGTGGGAGCACAGTGACCACCAGGGGGCAGCTCCTGTGTTGAGCATCTGCCCCTGGTGTTCAGTGTGAATCATAGTGACCAGTCAACCAGTCGTTCGTCGACTGGTTGTAACGGTCACTGAGGCTTTTATATATATAGATAAGGAAGCTGGGGTTTAGGATGGCTAAGTCATTTACCCAAAGAATAAAGTCGTGGAAGTGGGACTGGAACTCAGGAGGTGTGTTTGCAGAGTTGGCATTTGGACAGGGTTCCATGGTTGTTGTCATGTCAGTCACCCCACTTCGAGCCCTCCCTGCCATCTGTTGCTCCCCACCGCATCTCCACTGGGTGGTTCATCAGCCATTGACGAAGGCTACCCCCATTTGCCAGAACATAGTTCTCCTTCAACCCATTGACTGTACTGCACGCCTTGATCTGCATCATCTCTCATTATTGACTCCCTTTCCCTTTTCCTTTTCCGGTAACATTTCTTTCCTTTTCTCTTGACCCCGACAGACATCTCAGCCAAGCCCTGGTGGTCAGTCTTCATGCAGCAGCCAACAGTCCCCCGTCAGCAACTATTCCAACAGTGGGCTCGACCTTCCTCTGAGCGAAGGAGGTGGTGTGGGAGACCTCGGTGCCATCGACGAAACCCCAATCATGGACTCGACCATTTCCACTGCAACCACAGCCCTCGCTCTGCAAGCCAGGAGAAACCCAGCAGGGACCAAATGGATGGAGCACGTCAAACTAGAAAGGCTCAAACAAGTGAATGGCATGCTTCCGCGACTGAACCCCATCCTACCCCCCAAAGCCCCTGCCGTCTCTCCTCTCATAGGAAACGGTAAGTTCCGTGTCAGACCGTGTTTCTGCTCAGGGTTTTTGGTTCTTTTAAATGCAGTCACAATAGTGTGAGAGGAACCGGGCCCTGGGTTTTATGCTTGCTAACTTTTCCACCACACTTAAAATTATGCTGCAATCATACATATTAATGTATGGAGAGTCCATATTTTATTTAAATATATTTTATTGATTTTTTTTACAGAGAGGAAGAGGGAGGCATAGAGAGTTAGAAACATCTATGAGAGAGAAACATCGATCAGCTGCCTCCTGCACACCCCCTGCTGGGGATGTGCCTGCAACCAAGGTACATGCCCTTGACCGGCATCGAACCTGGGACCCTTCAGTCCGCAGGCCGACGCTCTATCTACTGAGCCAACCCAGTTGGGGTGAGAGTCCATATTTTAAAGGGATAATGCTGAAACAAAAAGTAAGCCTGTGCGTGACTCATACTCTGATGTTGACATGGTAACAGTTAGACCAGGTGAAGAAATCCCTGCAGCAGGGGCATCTGTGGTCAGTGCCTGCTCCTTGTTTCTGAAAGTGGGAGGTTAGCAGCCACCTCCCTGATGTTTGTCCGGTTCGAAGAAAGGCAGGCAACCATTTGCACTGTCGGCCCAGGTCAGCTTTTGCGTCTGAGATAACACCGGGTGCCTGGAGCAGCCCCCGAAGGTGAAGACTGTGTGTTTCGGTTTCATAGGATGTCACAGGGAGCCCTGAGTGTGGACGTGAAGTCCCGTAGTGCCTTTGGCCTATGGACGTGCCTGTACTCAGTGCTGTGTATATACCTGAGCTTTGCATTCGGTCCTTGCATTAGGCCTGTGAGGACTGTAACTGATCCAGGCACTCCTTACTGTTGTGTCTAATCAAGGGTCCCAGAACGTGCCCGTGAGCTTATAAATAAAGTTTTATTGGCCTCCAGCCACCCCCACTCCTTCGGGTGCCTGTGGCTCTGGGTGCTGCACGACAGAGGTGGGTGGCTGTGACAGAGGCTGCCTGGAGTGGGGAGCTGACAGCGGTTCCCGCGTGGCCGTTCCCCCTCTGCCGAGGCCTGGATCAAGTCATCCTGACATGAATCCCCCTCTCCCACACGTTCTCTGCAGGCACCCAGCCCGGTAACAGCTGCAGTGTGGGCGGGCCCGTGACCCTCCTCCCGAACAGAAGCGACCTCTCCGGGGTGGACGTCACCGTGCTGAACGTGCTCACCAGGAGGGACAGCAGCGCCAGCACCATCAGCTCGGCCTACCTGAGCAGCCGCCGCTCCTCGGGCATCTCCCCCTGCTTCTCCAGCCGGAGGTCCAGCGAGGCGTCCCAGGCCGAGGGCCGGCCCCAGAACGTGAGCGTGGCCGACTCCTACGACCCCATCTCCACCGACGCCTCCCGCCGGTCCAGCGAGGCCAGCCAGTGCGACGGGCTGCCCAGCCTGCTCAGCCTCACGCCGGCCCAGCAGTACCGCCTGAAGGCCAAGTACGCGGCCGCCACCGGCGGGCCCCCGCCCACGCCGCTGCCCAACATGGAAAGGATGAGCCTGAAGACCAGGATGGCCCTGCTCGGGGACGGCAGGGAGTCCGCGGGGACCCTGCCGCCCGTCCACCCTCCCCGGAGGTGCAGCGACGGGGGAGCCCACAGTTACGGGCGGCGGCCCCTGCTGCCCCCGGACGCGCTGGGCCACGGCGTGAGGAGAGCCAGCGACCCAGTGAGGACGGTCTCGGAGGGCCTCTCCCTGCCCAGGGTGCAGCGTTTCAACAGCCTCAACAGCTTCAACCCTCCGGCCTTGCCTCCAGCCCTGGAAAAGCGTAGCTTAGTGCTGCAGAACTACACGCGGCCGGAGGGCGCTCCGGCCCGCCACTTCCGCACGTCCCCCTGTCCTCCAAGCATCGCCGAGAACGTCACCCTGGAGGCCCTGACCATGGACACCGACGTGAGCCTGAACGATGAGGACTTCCTGCCCGACGACGTGGTGCAGTATCTAAACGCCCAGAACCAAGCTGGCTACGAGCAGCACTTCCAGAGCGCCCTCTCTGATGACAGCAAAGCGCCCCCGGGGCCCAGCCTGGGGAGCGGGCATGGCGACTTCGAGCAGCCCGGGCTGCCCGACAGCCACGCCGGCCACGCTGGCCCGCAGTACCGCGAGCTGGAGCAGCCCTGCCCCGAGGCCAGCAAAGCCGACCTGCCCATTCAGTGGAACGAGGTCAGCTCCGGCAGCGCGGACCTGTCCTCCTCCAGGCTCAAGTGTGGCCAGCGGGCCTCCGCGCAGCCAGCGCGGGCCTTCGGGCTGTACACCAACATGAGCGCCCACCCCCAGAACCCCCTGGGGAGCGGGGCCGGCCCAGCGGGCGTCTTCCAGAGCCTCGGGGAGCACTGCAGCGCCTATGGTGGGCCCGAGCACCTGGCGGTCCACTGTGGCGGGACCGGCACCAACAGAACTGTCTTCCATGAACAGCCCTATAAGGTCCAGCAGTACGGGAACTGCCTCAACAGGCAGCCTGGTGCCCCCGGCTTGCTGGACCCCGGTGCCAGCGGTGCTGGGATGCAAGCGGCCAAGCTGAGAGGCACCAGCCTGCAGGGGAACGGGAGCCAGCCAGAGTTTAGCCTGTCCGCGATGCCCAGCGAGTCAGCGGGCAGCACGGTGAATGGCGTGCCAACCCGATACCCGGTGGGACAGGGGTACCTGGCCCATCCGATGCTCAGCGACAGCGTGCACCACCAGGGGGCAGGCCGCCCCGGGCAGCCGACGCTGGGGCCGGTTAGCGCTACCTCACATACCAATGTCTATCAAGGGCCAGAGAGCAGCCTGCCAGGGCCTCCCAGCCTCGGGGGCCCGCCGCCCAGCGTGGCGGCCGTCAGGGACTACCAGCCGTGCGCAGGCTACGGAGGCGGCCGGCGCCAGGCTGTGCCGAGAGGCAGCCTCGCTCTGCAGCCAGGACAGCCCAGTGACACCAGTCAGACCTGCAGGGTCAACGGCATCAAGATGGAGACACAAGGGCAGCCCCATCAACTCTGCTCCAACATGCAGAGTTACTCTGGTCAGTTCTATGACCAAACCCTTGGCTTCAGTCAGCAAGACCTGAAAACTGGCTCGTTCTGTCTCTCGGAAGCCAGCTGCCTGCTCCAGGGGGCTGGCCCCGAGCACTCGGAGCTCCTGTCCCCGGGCGCGAACCAGGTGACCAGCACCGTCGACAGCCTCGACAGCCACGACCTGGAAGGGGTGCAGATTGATTTTGACGCCATCATAGATGACGGGGACCACGCCAGCTTGATGTCAGGAGCCCTGAGCCCCAGTATCATTCAGAACCTTTCCCATAGCTCCTCCCGCCTCACGACGCCGCGAACGTCCGTGCCGTTGCCAGCGCTGTCTGTGAGCACCACCAACATGGCCATCGGGGACATGAGTTCTTTGCTGACCTCCCTCGCGGAAGAAAGCAAATTCCTTGCAGTTATGCAATAGGCTCTGGGGGAAAAGGACTGCCAACAACTTCAGGAGTTTAAACGGTTACATTGAGTCAGTTTTTTGCTTGTTTTTTGTTTTTTAGTTCTGTATGTATTTTAGCAATCTCATCTCACATCTTGGGATGTGTTTCAAGTATATTCCTTTTATGGAAAAGGACTCTGAAAAACCCTAAAGTATTCTAGGGAGAAACTGTCTTCCATTTCAGTTTGAATCAGTATTGTTACACTCGAAACATCCCCCTTTTTAAAAAAAACAAAAACAACAAAAAAAGCCCTGTAAGTCTGCCCCCTTTATTAGTAAACCGGTATAAATGTGTGATGTGCATGTTCTTCTTCCTTTTCGAAGAGAGGTCAGACGAAAGGGTGTGACATGTTCCTCTGTGACTCACAGGAAACAGGAGTGGGTAAGCCTTTGACCAAAGGCTTGATGCCACCTTTTAAACTTTCCATATGCCCAGTGTTTGTTTTGTCTCTTGTTTGTTTGTTTTCTAAATTCCCACATTGGGCACGAGAATGGATAGTGAGTTTAAGTATCTTTTGTGGGTGAATTGTCGCATAGATCACAGATTTTTTGACAGGCCCCCCACCACCACCCCTGATTCAGTTCAGGGCACACTTTTGACAGTTGCCACAAGTGGAAATGTGGGGCTCTTGAGCGTCAGTCATTTGCTCACAGTTTGGGTTTAACATTCTCCCTGTCCATCGTGTGCTTTGGGGGGCAGGTCTGTCCGGTCAGTTCTCAGTTATCCACGTTGCCTCTTTCTCTGCGAGCTCAGTGCCCTGCAGCATCCCAGGAGGGGCAGGAGAGCCCAGGGATGCACGCAGACACGCTGCTGCTTTCTTCTGTTCTGGCGAGAGGCTAGGTGGGTTTGTAGTTGAAGCTGTTGCGTAGAATTAATTAGTTTGGGGAATATTTGTAGGTTTGCCGTATTTGTTGATTAGTTCCATCTCTTTACCCTTATCCTAGATAACTGAGAATTGATTATGTGTAGTGCTAAGTACAATCCCACAGCTGGCTGTCACTAACATAGGGAAGGACTGCTTCTATTCTAAGCACCCTCTTTTCAGGGATTTATAAAATTTAGTTGTAACAGGAAAAGCTCACGTACAAGGATAATTGGAATAAATTCCTTCGCCCATTTTTGGTATTTGAGAGACTAGGCGGGATGTGTAGTAGCTGTATGGATGCCTTTTTAAACCTTGTCTGTTAAATGCAGCGTCCATTTAAGAAATTAAATGTTCTATGTAGTTAACCCTTCCTGTGGGCTCAGTCTGTCCTTTTGTTTTGGATTAAACAATTAGAAGAGTGTAGCTACTTCCCATGTGCCGTGGATACACATAAAAAGCATACTGTGTGTGCACAGGGCACATGGATGATCCGGCATTTTACTTTTAAAAATATGTCAACTATTAAAACTTGAACAACAAATTCAAGTACAGACTATCCGCCGTCTTCTTCCCATTGATCCTGGAGTTGGACTTGCCCAAAGTGACCCATGGTTCCGTTGTGTGGCGTTTCCCCTTTATTCCTGCCGTTTAAATTAGCTTCGGAAAGGCAGCATCAGATACAGTAACATGTTAGATAACAGAAAGAGAGGACCAGCCCATTTTTCTCATGTTTACGTTCTCTGGTTTGGACCAAGGGCCTCAGCGTGGAGGTAAATGAGACAACTGGGCTTGCCTTCACCTGGCTGTCCCCGAGCTCCGCAGAGGGATGCCGGGGTTTCTCCTCCACATCCCGCCACCCTCCCATGTGCAGCGCCTTCTTTCAAATCAAAGGGCGCATCCGCGTTGGAACAGAGCCCAGAAGCGAAAAACGGCTACTAGTCTGAGCTCCGTACAGTCGCGCCTCCCCCTTTTCAACGGGAAAAGCGAGGTCTTTTCTGCCTTCGTCGGATAGGCCACAAATCAGTGACCCACTGCCAGCGCCTCCTTTCTCCAGGGACCTCAGAGCCCCCAGGTCCTGGCCTTGCCTTCCACGTTCTTGCGGTTTGGCCCGATCTCTGTTCTCCTCTGCCTGAGTTCCTTCCTCGGGAGTTCCTGGATGGGCCCAGTCCCTCAGCTCCCCTCACTGCCCTATCCTCTTGGCCCACGAGGAAGGACGGGCAGCGATTGGGATACACAGAGCCGCCACCTTGTGCCTCTGCTTTTTCTCCTGGCTCCCGGTGATTCTCCGGGTTGCCCGGTTCCTTTACGTTTTCCTTGCAAACGTGTTTTCCTTGCTCCTGCCTTTCGAGGGGCAGGAGACTCCCTCCAGGGCAGCAGGTGGCTCCTCTCCATCCCGAAATCTCAGAGCGATGGATCTGTTGTGACCGTCAGTGGCAGGAAGGTCTCCTGGGGCCATTGAGAAGTGTCCTGTCGGGATGTGCATCTCCGTAGACTTGGCACCTCCGGTGGTGGGAGGCACCCCCAAGCCTCCAGCCTTCTCTCCGCCGTGTCACTGTTGTCACATCCTCCTTGACGCTGCAGGCTCCTGCATGGCATTCCTGTCTCACATCTTTGTTAAACGTGTTTTTACATGTCAAACCATCTTTGTTTTGTTTTCTAAAGAGCGAATTAGAGACTAGTTCAATGTGCCCCTGCTCCGCCTCCCGAGCCTCAGAGTTTTGATTCTTGCGATGTATGTGCCTTATTTTGTGTTCATCGTGTCGATGCAAGGGACCATTTGGTGTTGCCCAATCAGAATGCAAGGCTGCATGCGCCCCAGCCGGCGGAGAGCACAGGACTGTAGCGGAGCCTGAGCTGTCTTGTAACCTGGTTTCCCGTGTTGTTTTGAACCGATAGGAGGATGTTCTCTTCGGACAAGTTGCTGTTGTGTATCCTGCAAACGTGTAAGATAAAGTACAAGTTCATTTTTTTCACCTTTTTTAGATTTTTTAAAAAATAAAATGTGTAATCCTTTTTTAAAAGAAAGACGTGTAAATACATTTAAGTATTGTAGGCATAGTGTCCGGACGTGGCCGGCCCCGGGCCTCCCTGGCATCTGCCTGCCTCCAGAGCGATGCCCCGCGCCCACCTCCAGCCCCGAGGGCAGCCGCCACAGACGGACTCGACTTTTGCTTTCAGAACCACTTAGTCCTTTTGTAACAAAGAGAAAGAACAATGTTTCTTACAATGTCAATAAAAAAAAACTCTTTGTACTGAAAATTTTAGTGTGTTGCTTATTTAATTCATCGATGAATGGAAAGCATGCTTTCCTTGGAAAAATCCAGAGCCTGTGTTTGGAACAGACCCCCACACCCAGCAAACCAGGTGCCCTGGTGCTCAGAGACCCAGATCCCTCATTGCTAAGGTGGAGGAGATGCTGACATTCCTGCTAGCGGGAGGGCGGGTGTGTGCCTGGACACACGGCTTGTAACCAGGATCATTTTTTCTTAATGTTATGCTTTGCCAAATTCTATGCGGAAGGACCTAAATAGGATTCAAAGGCCAACAGTTTAACTTGTCCCTTTTTTATACATTATCCTCTCATTTCAAAGGGTCTGCGGTAGGACACACACCAACAGAAAATCTGGCACCGCATAATGCCACTTTTATGTGGCTTTTAATAACTGACTGCAGATGAAGGTAAACAACTTTGCCTCATTTGCCTTTTATTTTATTTTCAATATTCTCCAGATTTCTGTAGCAGACTCCAAGCGGGTCCCCTTCCTCTGTCTGAATAGCAGCAGGTGACCTTGGAGCCAGCAACCAAGGGTGGTATCTCAGGGCTACAAGGATGGGTGGAGCCTCATGCACACACCTGCACAGATGACCCGCGTGGCCCAGGGAACTGGTGTGGGATGCACCTGTCCTCTCCCTGCCATAGGGATACTTCACGTTTTAATCGCAAGGGAGAACTTTCTCCCATAAACCCCAGATTCTTTGCTTTATTAATTAGATCCCTCACATAAGGTGTCCAAATGAATTCAGAAAGAAAAAAAAATTAGGAATTTGTGCCCAGCCTTAAATATCAATATTCAGTTTAGGAAGATGCATGCCATGCAGCAAGTCAAAATAAGTAAGAAAGGAAAATGGGGAACGGGGTGCATGACACAGCCTCCTGTACGTCTGGGAGCAGGCACGCAGGCACAAGTCAGCTTTGCTTATAAGATGCCTCCTGTGAAGGACATGAAGGAGGCAGCGTCTGAGGCAAAGTGGTGCAGCTGCAATGCAAATGGTATCTCCTAGGGATGTATGTTAGCCCAGCTGATTTGGCTCAGTGGTTGAGCAGTGACCCAGGAACCAAGAGGTCACTGGTTCGATTCCCAGTCAGGGCACATGCCCCAATTTCGGACTCTACCCCCAGTATAGGGGCATGCTGATAGATGATGTTTCCCTCTCATCGATGATTCTATGTCTCTATACCTCTCCCTTCCTCTCTCTCTGAAAGCAATAAAGACATATTCTTAAAAAAAAAAAAATAAAGATGTAAGTAATTTTTGGAATTCAGTGATACTATTATCTATTGCCCAAATGAGAAATAGAAGAATAGAGAGGAAAATTTAACCCACTGCTAAATTGCCATACTTATCCCTTTTTCTGCCAGGATCTTCTTTCTATTTTCATGGTAGTGTTTCCCCTTTGGTTTTGCTTTATATTGTATTGATTATTCAAAATACAATCTAGGGTTGACCCCGTTAATTATCTAATAGGAAAGAGGAGAGGACAGGAGGCAGCTGATATTAAGGAAAATGGAGCAAGCATTGGAACAAACCGGATTGTGGGACAGATCACCTGACCCCCTGGTGGTCATGAGGGAGGGAGGTAAGCATGAGAGCAGGTTTAGCCAGATGTGTGGTGTGGATACAGGAGGTCAGAAGCTGAGGGGATCCAAAGGTGACCCCAACCTCTGTCGAGGCAGTGGGTCTGGCCTGTGTCAGGAAGGCCAGTGAACAGAACGAGCGAAGAGTGAGGAAAAGAGTGCGTGATGGGGTGGGGCAGCATGGAGCAGAAAGTACTCATTGCTATTTCACTAGGGCCGTGGTCGGCAAACTGCGGCTCGAGAGCCACATGCGGCTCTTTGGCCCCTTGACTGTGGCTCTTCCACAAAATACCACGTGCGGGCGTGCGTACAGTGTGATTGAAACTTTGTGACCCATGCGCAGGAGTCGATTTTCGGCCTGGGCGAGTCTGTTTTGAAGAAGTGCTGTTGATATTTGGCTCTGTTGACTCATGAGTTTACCGACCACTGCACTAGGGGATCCAGATTGGACTTAACTGGGCATAAGACTCAGGTAGAAGGTTATTTTTATTTTTTCAGGGAA